CGAACGGTGATTCCATCTAAAATAATTGTTTTGATTAGAACACTTGAAAAAACTATTGATTCGTTCATTGTTTTAAGCCGTAGATATTGAACCAGAAAACAATGTAATTACGTTCGATTTTTGTGTAGCATGACGTCACGTCTGTTGGACATAATTCGCTTGGCAACTCTTCTGGGGAATTGAATGTCGAACATTGTTCCAACTTATCTGATGAACATACGTGGCAATACAATCCATTGGCTGAAAAAAAATTGAATTGATGCGAAAAATTGTGTATTATTCAGTTTATGACAGCGTTAGTCACACTTTTTCTAGAAGGTCCTCAAATCAAATGCGTAGCTTTTTGATAGGCTAAATTCGATTCATTTTGTATCATTTACAAACGAATTTGAAAGTATTTCTCCCACGAATTATAATTATTTTCCTCCTCTTCTAACTTGAATTATGCCCAAAAATTTACACTTACCAGAATCCAACAGAAAGCAGAAAGAAGAAATTAATACCAAAGCATTCCACCTCTTAAATAACGTCATTTTATTTTCTTCTGTTTCGCATATAAAGTTTAATGGTTTAAATTTGTCTATGAATAAAATGCCAGTGGTCGAATAACTTCATCGAAAGAAAAAATAGAGGAAACACTTACATAATTACTTATCCATCCAAACATAACGGTAGCAAAATAACAATAGACTTAGTTATGTATGGAATATCCTTCTATACTCCTTTATATGGCAAAAGATTATGATATCAATAATATTGGTTGAACGCCAAAATATGCTATTATCAATTCAGAGATAATGTCTAACCGTTTTCAAAGAAAACATCATTCATCTATATTTGGTTTATTACCTCAATCATTCCACGTTGAACAAACATGATAAGGAATAATCGAATTTGTCTTTTTGAACAATGAAAAAAAAACACGATTTCGTTGTAGCAGACAGATAGCTTATCATGGGAATTTCATTCATTTTCGTAAAATATTAAAAGCTTCGACAATTAATTCATGCACTGAATATAAGTACTGAAGAAGGCTAATAAGCACAACAATGAGCTCACTGACACCTTTATGCTGGCACTAGTTTCCTCTTTATTACAATAATCATCGGTGCACAAGGTGCACGAGTCATCACCATGACATTTTTCATATTCTTCCTCGGTTAAATCGGCAGTGCATCCACGACTAATGATTCCATCTAAAAAAAAAATAATGGATAGAATTGTGCTCTCTTCTTATTTGATTTATAAAATGGACTTACTTTGATGGCTTGTGAAGCATCCTCTTCTATCGTAAGTATAAACCGAATGGTCACAATACTGAATGTATTCGAATGGACTTTGAATCACAGAGCAATTTCCATCGATACCACTCTGACATCGCAAACACCAACTGAATCGAACGTTTCCAATATTACAAACAGGCTCTGAGCATGTTTTATACTCCTCATTCAATTTTGAATCAATATCAAGAGTACAACCGCGTTCGACTTGTTCAGTGCCTTCATCACAAAAATCGAATGAGAAGAAAATGTGAAATTTTCTTTTGAAGCGATAAAATGTACAAAGTGTATTACCATTAATCGATCGAGTGAAGCAACTTTCCTCGTCACCTAATTCGACATCCTTTTTGCATGGAACTGCCATGGATGCGTTATAGCCGAATGCGCATTCATCTGAACCAGTACAATTCACACAAGCGAATTTGGGTTGTCTTACTTTTGGTTGATTGTTACAGCCAGTGTTTGGACATATAACACACGTGCCTTTATCATTTTTATTATTTCTTTCACACAAAATTCGTTCTTTTGATGTATCACTCAAACATCCTCTAAACACTTCTTTATCTATTGGAATCAATTGTTTTTAGAAATGATTCTTATGTGTTATCATCTATTTTTGTTCAATTTATCTCACCTTCACCCATATACGTAAAACATTGATCATATTCTGTGTAAATGCGACATGGTTCCGGTTTCATAGAAGTATCAAGATTACATGCTTCGTTGCCGTTGCACTGATAACATTTTAAACGATCTTTTGGGAATATTTCAACATTGCACTTGTCTTCATGACAAGTGAATGTGTTGTTTGGAAATTCCTTGTTGAAGTTTGATGATTCATCGATGCATCGTCTGTGAGTAAAGCCTTTTCTGTCGATTCCAATTGCACACGAGCTGTGATAGTCTTTGCACATTTCGGTGTTCGTTAATTCAGCATTATTTGCACATTGCGGATCATTTTCGCCGTTACAACCATAGCATTCTTGAAATTTAGCTTTCGCATTACATCTCGCCCCTGTGCAAATTTTACAAGTATCTGAATTGTCTAGGCACTCGGTTGTCTTTGCTGGTTCAAGATCTTGAATACAACCTCTGTTCACTTCATCGCCTTCCTAAAAACAATTCAATTCATTATTATGAATGACATTCACAATGAGTTAATTTAAACATACAATTCTCAAGTAGCAGCCGCTATGTTTTGTGGATCGGAATTTATGGCAAATTTTATCTTCCATTAGCTCCGGGTTTGTGCGACAGCGTGGATCAGTTATTGTATAGCATTCTATGCATTTTTGCGCGTTCAATTTTACATTATTACATCCAGGGCCCGTTGCTGTTGAGCAAACGTCACTCTTTCCATGTGGAATTCCCATTTCGAATTTGATACTTTTACCGAAATCGGAATCATCCAGGCAACCTCTAATGATATTATGTTCGTTAATCAGCGTGAAACATTCACTTTCATATTTAGGGCAAACTTGAATGTGCGATGGGCCAGGATTGATGGCACAGTTCAAATCCTCCGTTGAATCACAGACGATGCATTTGGGCAAAAATGGATTCACATTACAATTCGCTCCTTTGCATATTCGAAATTCACTGTCTCTTCCACTGTATTGCTTCAGCTCATCATTAGACAATTGACTGACGTGACCTGGAAAAACAGTTTCATTAAAAGCTTAATTTAATTTCCAATCGAAATGAAATCGAGATGCATACCTCTTATATGACGATCAGTTTTTTCGTCAACGAAATGAAAGCATCCTTTGTTGATGATCGATAATGAATTCTCGGTAAATAATGACTCACCAGTTATGTTTGATGTCAATCGACAATTTGGATTTGTGTCCGAGTCACAAGACATGCAGATATCACGATGGACTGCTTCTTGATTGCATAGAAATTTTGAACATAAAAGACAGTGCTCTGGATCTGATGCGCAATTCTCAGGTGTGTCTTCAAATGAATCTGTGCAGCCTCGTGTAACAATTCCATTTTTAACGTGCGTGTAGCACTGTGACAAATAATTTGCACACTGACTTGTTTTCATATTGATAACTCCACCTTTGCAGTCTAAACAATTCTCATCGGTTTCGGAAGAGCTATCGATACAAGTTTGAAAGGAGGTCTTTTCATTGCAACCGTCACCTTTGCACATTTTGCAGGTAGTGTTTGTGCTTGGAGTTTGACACAAATGTCGACTTTCAGGGTCTAGTTCGGAAACGCAACCACGTTCGACAAATAAATTGTCTTTCCATAGATAGCAACCGAGCCTTCTTAAACTCAACGGACATTTTAATTTCATATAAGGTAATGGTGCATATTGACAATTGTCATTCATTACTCTTGGTGAATGACAAGAGAAGCAGTATTCTTCTGAGACAGGTCGGGAGTTGCACAGATTGCCTGTACATGATTGACATATGTCTTGATTATTTCTACAATCAGATACAATATCGAGTTGTGTATCTGGTTCGCCAACAATATCATCCAAACAGCCTCGCCGAACATTTTCTCTAACCACATGAATATAACATCGATTACCATATCGCCTACATAACGTACTATTGATATTGACATTCTGTGTTGTATCTTGCGTAACACAAGATATGAATCCCATTTTTTTGTTACAATCATATCCGGTACATGTTTTACATGTTTCACTGTTCGATTCACAGTTCTTACGTTGATCGCCTTTGAGCTCAGTAATGCAACCTCTTTCCACGTAACTCCCGTTGTCAAAGTGATAACAGCCGGATGGATTTGTTTGTAATGGGCATATCCTAGAACTGCGTGCTTTCTCTCTGCATTCCGAATCATCATCAGAATTACAGGCAAGGCAAAACGATGCGGTCAGCGGTTTGTAATTACACAAAGGTGTCGAGCACACTTCGTATTCTCGATAGTTCTCTTCATTCTCCACTAAGAAGTTCGGCGGTAGGCCATTTTCAGCGGCGTATTCGTCAACACAGCCTCGAATCACCGTATAATTTTGAAGTAATAGAGTAAAACACGTGTCGTTATATTTTGCACAGATTTTTGGCCACATTTTTCTATCGAATACATGCAACGGCACTTCAATCGACTGATCGATTGCGTAACATTTGGAAAAACTCTGTTGTCGATTACATCCCTCGGTTTCAAAACATGACTTGCATGAGTCGTCATTTGCCAGACACTTCTGCTTATCGGATTCTTCAAGCTCTACGGTGCAACCACGGATGACATTTGAATCTGGATTTGACATAATTGAATTTTAAAGTTGGTTTAAAAAAAAATTAAATTGCCTTGAGTAATAATGAAAAGCTTTACCATTGATCATGTGAAAGCAACCCAAGTCTTCATCAGCAAATGGACACAATTGACTCATTGAATCGTTTACTTCGTTTGCACAGTTTGGATCATCTTTGGAATCACATTTAAAGCAGATTCTTTCAAATGAATTAATCTTGGTGCAGTTATCATTGTCACAGGGGATGAGTTGAGGTTTCTCTCCATCGTGAATAGCGTCAAAATGAAATGCATTAAATTCGAGATTGGTGTTGACAACCGCATTTTCATCATTACTAATTGAAGATCGATTGATAGGCAACTTTTCACGTGAACTGAATGTTGAGTATTCACTCGCACTATATGCTACAGATTTAGATTGAGAAGTTGTGATTGGCTGTTCATAATCAAACATTTTATACACTTGCACAGAATACAAAATATTTTTTTTTTCATGGAATCTCGAATTTTCACATTTTCGTCAATAAATACTTACTGCGTTTCACTAAAATACAAAAAATTAGCACAAGTGACGGCAATAAGTGCCAATTTCTTAGAAAATTCACCATTTTCCCTATAAATGGCTCACTTTGAATCATTTACAAACTTCCAATATTTGCGAACGACTAAAAGGGTGACATTGAGATATATACTTTATATAGCATAAACACTTTACCGTGTACACAATCAAATCCAATTACATGTGTCCATGCATTGATATGCCTTAATCAAATTCGCCAATCTCTTTTGTTGAGACAATGCGAATGGAATGGACAAATTCCAAGAAATTCATGCAAAATAACAATAACAAACCTTGTAAAAAAATGCCTTATTGTTTTCGTTCGTAGTAAATTCCCTTTGATAATATTTTTGAAATAAATCTTGACGTCATTCAATTTGTTTATCTAATCTCAGATTTATTCCAAGAATTATTTGTTAAAATCAGTTCATCGACTGTAATATGATATTGAATACTAATCATTTGTTCGCTTTCGAAAGTAAGTTATTCATAGGTATTTCATTCATTTTAGCAAAATATTAAAAGCTTCGACATTTAATTTATGCGCTGGATATAAGTACTGAAGAAGGCTAATGGGCACAACAATAAGCTCGCTGACACTTGTATGCCGGCATTAATTTTCTCTTTATTACAATAATCATCGGTGCAAAAGGTGCACGAGTCATCACCATGACATTTTTCATATTCTTCCTCGGTTAAATCGGCAGTGCATCCACGACTAATGATTCCATCTAAAAAAAAAATAATGGATAGAATTGTGCTCTCTTCTTATTTGACTTATCAAATGGACTTACTTTGATGGCTTGTGAAGCATCCTCTTCTATCGTAAGTATAAACCGAATGGTCACAATGCTGAATGTATTCGAATGGACTTTGAATCACAGAGCAATTTCCATCGATACCACTCTGACACCGCAAACACCAACTGAATCGAACGTTTCCAATATTACAACCAGGCTCTGAGCATGTTTTATACTCCTCATTCAACTTTGAATCAATATCAAGAGTACAACCGCGTTCGACGTGTTCAGTGCCTTCATAACAAAAATCGAATGAGAAGAAAATGTGAAATTTTCTTTGGAATTGCATATTTTGAAGCGATAAAATGTACAAAGTGTATTACCATTAATCGATCGAGTGAAGCAACTTTCCTCGTCACCCAATTCGACATCCTTTTTGCATGGAACTGCCATCGATGCGTTATAGCCGAATGCGCATTCATCTGAACCAGTGCAATTCACACAAGCCAATTTGGGTTGTCTTACTTTTGGTTGATTGTTACAGCCTGTATCGGAGCATTCAACACACGTACCCTTATCATTTCGTTCACACAAAATTCGTTCTTTTGATGAATCACTCAAACATCCTCTGAACACTTCTTTATCTATTGAAATTAATCGATTTTAGAAATTCTTTTCTTGTGAATTTGTTCAATTTATCTCACCTTCACCCATATACGTAAAACATTGATCATATTCTGTGTAAATGCGACATGGTTCCGGTTTCATAGAAGTATCAAGATTACATGCTTCGTTGCCGTTGCACTGATAACATTTCAAACGATAATTCGGAAATATTTCAACATTGCACTTGTCTTCATCACAAGTGAATGTGTTGTTTGGAAATTCCTTGTTTAAGTTTGATAATACGTTGAAGCATCGTCTGTGAGTAAATCCATTTTTGTCGATTCCAATCGCACACGAACTATGATAGTCCTTACAAATTTTGGTGCTCATCAATTCAGTATTCTTTGCACATAGTGGTTCATTTTCACCATTGCAACCATAGCATTCTTGAAATTTGGCTTTCGCATTACATCTCGCTTCCGTGCAACTTTTGCAAGTAACCGAATTGTCTAAGCACTGGGTTGCACTTGCTGGTTCAAGATCTTTGATACATCCTCTGTGAAATTTATCACCGTCCTGCAGAAGTTGGTTCATTATAAATGATATTCACAAAAAAAAACAAAGTTACTAAAAATGGATACCATCCGTATGAAAACCAATACACTTTTTGTGCATGCTACTACTTCTTCTTCTTCACACTATCGTACACACAATCGTGCACAATGGAAGCGGCCATATTGAATATTTATAGTGTATTGTCATTAGTTCTTCCAATATGGCGACTTACAGTATGTGTTAAGAAGAAGAAGCAGTACCATTCCTCAGTTTGCATAGGGACGATGGATACAAACAATTTTCAAGTAGCATCCTATTTGTACAGATCGTTTATTTTGGAAATTATCACAAATGGTTTCTTTCATAACATCGGGATGCGTTCGACAGCGTGGATCAATTGATGACTGACACTCGATGCACGTCTCCATGTTTAACTTCACATTATTGCATACACCGCCATCGTTAGCCGGGCAAATGGCGCATTTGTCGGGTTGGCTTTCGCATTTTTTTTGAAAATCTTCATTGTGATCCATATCATGTAAACATCCTCGAATCACATTATTCTTGCCAATATAAGTGAAACATCGATTTTGGTAGTTTGGACACACCTGAGATTGCAATAAGCTGGGATTTGTAGCGCATTTGGGATCTTCTGTTGAGTTACAAACTAAACATCGCGGCAGAGATGGCCTCGAATTACATTTTGCTCCTTTGCAAATTCTAAATTCATCTCCAGTTGCTTCGAACTGCCTATATTGTTCATCAGTTAATTGACTGACGTGACCTGTAACAAGAGACAAAGTTCTTATTTGTTTTATTTCGAAAGAAATTTTAATTTTTTCATCATATTTCAAGCAATTTATGTACCTCTTATGTGCCGGTCAGTGTCATTCATGACAAAATGAAAGCATCCCCGATCATAGAGTGTGAACGGAAATTCTCTGAAAAGAGTCTCATCATTGATCATAGTCTTCGATCGACAATTTGGTATCGTGTCCGAATCGCAAGATACACATAAATTACGCTCGATAGATCTTCCGTTGCATCTCAAACCGTCACAAAGGTGGCAACTCTCCGAATCAAATTGACAATTTACGGGAGTGTTCACAACTTCATCTGTACAATTTCGCGTAACTATATTATTTTCAACGCGAGTGTAACACTGATCCATATAATTTGGACAATGTCGTGTTTTTAAGTTCAAAGCAGTGCGTTCGTCCCCATCACCCTCTCGACAATCATCATCATCATCTTCGGAAGAGCAATCAAGACAATGTGGAAACGAAATTTTGTCATTGCATGCAATTCCTTGACAAATTTTGCAGGTATCACTCGAAGATTGGCATTCACGTTTCATCTCAGGTGCAAGATTGGTAACGCAGCCACGTTCAACGAAAATGTTACCCCATTTGATTGACTTCCAATCGTAGCATCCGAGTCGATTTAAAGTGTATGGACAAAACACCTTCATATCGACCGTTGGATGGTAGCTACAAGTTATGTTCGTCAATGATGTGCAAGAGATACAGTGGTTTCTTAATATATCTCGAGTGTTGCAAAAGAAGCCCGAACAGATTTCGCATACATCTGGATTGTTTTTACAGTCGGATATGATGTCATGTCCTACAACTGGCTCATCAATTAGTTCATTCAAACAACCGCGTCGCACTGTGTTATTGTAAACGTACAGATAGCAAACATCATCGTATTTTTGGCATGTCTTTATTCTACCGCCAAAGGCGTCTACACTAAACCTGCATTTTTGGAATCTCGATTTCTTATTGCATACATTTCCAGCACATGTTTTACATGTTTCACTGTTCGATTCACAGTTCTTACGTTGATTGCCAATGAGCCCAGCAACGCAACCTCTTTCCACGTAACTTGACTGTGTTATGTAACTCCCGTTTATAAAATGATAACAACCGGATGGATTTATTTCTAATGGACATTTCTTTTTGAACATGCTCGGTTCAGTGGCACATCTTGGCTTATCTATTGAATTACAGGCATAACAAAACGATGCGGTCAGCTGTTTTCCATTACACAAAGGCGTCGAGCACACTTGATATCTTCGATTGTTCCCTTCAATCTTCGATAAGGATCTTGCCGGTAGATCATTTTTAGCGGCGTATTCGTCAAGACACCCTCGAATCACTGTATCGTTTTCAAGCACTTGAGTAAAACACGTGTCGTTATATTTTGCACAGATTTTTGGCCATGATTTGGTTTCGAAGACGTTCGGTGGCGATAGGTTACTAATCGGCTGATCAGTTACAAAACATTCGGAGAAACTCTGTTGTCGATTACATCCATCGGTTTCAAAACATGACTTGCATGAGTCGTCATTTGCCAGGCACTTCTGCTTTTCAGACTCGTCAAGCTCTACGACGCAGCCACGGATGACGTTTGAATCTGGATTAGATTATAATTGAAATTTAAAGTTGATTTGAAAAAAAAATTGCCTTGAGCATAATGAAAAGCTTTTACCATTGATCATGTGGAAGCAACCCAAGTCTTCATCAGCAAACGGACACATTTGTCTCATTGAATCGTTTACTCCGTTTGCACAGTTTGAATCATCTTTGGTATCACATTTAAAGCAGCTTCTTTCCCATGAATTAATCTTGGTGCATTTTTCATTGTCACAAGGGAGTAGCTTTGTATTGCCTCCTTCGTGAACAACATCCAAATGGAACGGATTGAGGTCGAGATTGGTGTTGTTAGCTTTAAATCGATCTCCTTGAAATGAAGGTTGATATCCAGGAAAAGTGTGCACATTACATTCGTTCGTTTCACATGGGACGAAAGAGTTGTTGCTACCGTGGCTCTGCTCTTGACGCAATAAACAACCTCGAACAGTGATTCCATCTTAGAAAAATTGGTGATTGGAAAACATACACAATTCACGTGGTTTTTGTTTGATTGAAATTTGATTTCAATTTCAACAGATAATTGAAAATAAAGATTTGAAGAAAAAACAATTGAATTGTGGTTCGAAACATGAACCAACAAATTCTTGTTTTGAATGTAAAAACAAAATCATAATTTATACAATTACGTTCGGATTTTGTAAAACATGATGAAATATCAATGGGACATGAAATGATTGGCAACTCCTCAGACGGAACTAAAGTTGAACAGATATTTGACTCTTCCGATGTGCACACGTAACATTGTTTACCACGTGCTGTAATTGTTATTTTTTGTTATGCAAATTTGTCTTTAGTGTAAGGGTTTGTGTGTGCTTATAAGAAAAAAAGGTGAACACTTTAAATATCGAGTGAACGTGGAAGAAATGTTGATAGAATTAAAAGCAGAATTTAAAAAAATGATCGAATATAGTACGTATTATGACGAATTTTCTTCCTTTTCTTTATATAAATATTTAAATAATTTTCAATATCTTTTTTTCACAATATAAAAGGTCATTGCGCATGATTTTATCGCACATTTTCTTAAGCCAAAGCAAATTTTTGCGATTTCATATACGTTGACTATGTTCCAAATGAGTACAAAATATTTGAAACATATTTTTCGTTTTTTTTTTTCGACTTCATAGATACTTACAGCTTCCAAATAAACTAGAGAGAATCGAAATTGTTAGCAATAAACAATAGCTTTTCCAGTCTCCAAATATTCTACCAACCATTTTTTTCTCTGTGAATTTGATTATTTTTTCCAGAAAATTTTATTCAATTTTCAAACTTCATTCAAAGCGATTCAAAGTCTAGTTCAAAGTATTACTACATTCAAAATTTTAATACAATTATAAACCGAAAACCCCCAATAAAATCACAAAGAAAAGTGTACTATATGACGTTGAATCCACTTACTTTATATAGGTTTATCAATAGACAGTACAGCAAAAATAACAATTGAAAGTGTGGCATTGTCATTAGATAAAGCACAACTCAGTCCCGTCAACACAATCAATAAATTGGCGAATTGATAAGAAGATCACGCACCATTGATTGATGCTCTCTCGCTTTTAAATATATTTCTTTTACATTCGTCATTATCGTAATTTCCGTTGAAAGAATATATTTTAGTATAATATATAAATATATGCCATGAATCGGTCATCTGAATTGAAAATCCGATGAATGAACTGTATTGAACCTTAAATTTAATTTTGCACATTTGTCTTTATTTATGACAGAAGAATGTTATCATTCATTAAAAGGGGGATATTTTTCTGAATCACGAATGTTTCGATGAAATGATTATACTATATACAAATTGCTAGATTTGATTGAAGCATTATAGCATTCAGTACATATGACACAGAAAACAGATTAAACCTTATTAACTAAATCAAATTTTATTTATTTTCTAATGCTGTTGTCAAAATGAAAGGTCATTGGTATTTAAATTAGTAAACCTGTACAAGATATGTAACCAAAATGGCGTAGAGACACATCAAAGTGCTTGCTGATGTGTTCACGCCAGAGTTGATTATTTCTTCTTTGTTACAATAGTCATCAGAGCACAATTCGCATGAATCATCTCTTCGACAATTTTCATATTCATCTTCGCTTAGGTCTATATTACAGCCGCGAGTCACATTTCCACCTAAAAAGAAAAAGATAAAATACTTGTCTTTTTTCATTCAACACTATGAAGTACCTCTGAAAATGGTGTAGCATCCCCTTTTGCTATAAGTATACGGCAAATGATCACATTCCTCGATAAATTCATTTGGATTCGAAATTTTTGCACAGTCGCCTTTGACATCACTTTGGCAACGCAAGCACCAACTGTGTCGAACGTTTTGTGTGTTACAACCTTTACGTAAACATTTTTCGCATCCAATTTCTTCTTTGCACCAATTTGTTGCGTTCACATCAAGTGTGCAGCCACGTTCAACTGTAGAAGAGCCTAAAGAGAAGCATTTGTTGTAAAGTTGAACAAATTTATTGAAATAAAACATTTGATTGATATGAATGGCATTATTACCAGGAATTGTGTGAACGAAACAGCTTTCTTGGTCACCAAACGTAACATCATTCAAGCAAACAATCGCCGCGGATAAACTTTGACCGAATGCACACTCTTTGGCATCACTGCATTTTGTGCAAGACAATTCTGCCTGTTTCACCTTTGGTTGGTCATTACAGCCAGAACCCTTGCACTTGACACAATTTCCCTGCTTATTATCTCCATACGCTTCACATTCCAATCGAATTGGCGTCGAATCACTCAAACATCCTCTGAACATTTTATTATCTATTCAAATGATACAATCGAAGAATAGAATTTGAATTGCTTTTAGAAGAAAGTAAAAGTGGTGATAAAATGATGTCATCTAGGATGTCATGCTATCATTTAACATTACCTTTATTGATATAAGTAAAGCACTGATCAAAGACTGATGAAATACCACATGGTTGCGGTTGCAAATCAACATCTGTCGAATTCGGTGACATAAAATTGCAGTCTTCATTACCATTGCACTGGTAACACTTGAGTCGATTTTCGGGAAATATTTCATAGTTGCACTTAATGTCCATACATTTTTTGGACTGTTTCAAGAATACAGCCTTAGTATCCTCATCGCATGCCCGATGAGTATAGCCCAATTCATCTATACCGGTTGTACAAGCGCTGTGATATGACTGGCATATTTCCGTCTTGGTCGATTGCTGTCTGGTGCAGCGTGGGTCATTTTTACTGTTACAGCTGTAGCATTCGTGGAAAGTAGGCTTTAAATTACAGTTCGTCCAATTACAGCTCTTGCACGCTGGTGATCCGTTCGTACATTCGTGTCCTGCGGATGGTGTTAAATCCTGAATACAACCTCTCTTTACATGTGGACCAACCTGAAACAAATATTTTTACGGTGTAACAAAGAGATTTGATCTTTAAAATATAAACTGTGTATTACTGACAATGCCCAAGTAGCAGCCCTTTTGCTTCGTGAGTTTGATATGGGCACATATTTTCTGATCACTTTCTTTGGGCGTCAATCGACAGCCTTCATCATCAGTTGAATCGCATTCAATACACGTGTCCATTTCGACCGGTTCATTATTGCATCCGATACCGTCAGACGTTGAACAAATTCCGCACCTGGCTTCGTTGTATTGACATTTCACTCGAGACGCCTCTTTAAGATCGTTCAAACAACCTCTTATAACCTCTTGTTGCAAAATTTGAGTAAAACACATATTTTTGTAGTTATCACACACTTTGCTGTACGATGAATTCGGGCTGGTGGCACAATCTGGATTCACCGTTGAATTACAAATCAAACATCTTTCCAGACCATGCTGTGAATTACATTTGGGTCCTTTGCAAATTTTAAACTCATCGTTCTTTTCATTGTACCGCTTTCTCTCTTCGGCAGATAATTGACTGACACAGCCTGAAATTGGGATAAATTGATCAAGTTGTGAGTAAAAACGAAACAAATCATTCAAAAGTCTAGCCTTCTCTTGTCAATTTTCCCATGTTTTCAAGATACCTCTTATATGGCGACCATCCTCTTTGCTAACAAAATGATAACATCCTTGTGGTTCAACCGACAGTGGGCATTCCTGAGTAAAGAATTGTTCTTGGTACATTGAAATGGATTTGCATGTTGCATTTTGGTGTGAATCACAAACAATGCAAACTTCTGGAGTAATAGCATTCCCATTGCACTTATAACCAGTGCATGGTAAACAGTATTCGGATTTAGTGCAATCTTCGACCGAATTGATGCATTCTCCGAGGGTAGTGACGAAAAATTCGCCGATACAGTTCCGTTGAACAATTCCTTTTTTAACATGAACATAACATTGATCCATATAATTTGGGCATATTCTTTCACTAGCCATCCATGGTTTTGATATACAATATTCATCATTTCGTGATGAACAAGTTTTGCATACTTCAAACGATCGTTTTGCATTGCAAGTGTCTCCTTTGCATATTTTGCAAGTGTCATTCACACATGCATGTCGTTCTTCACGGCTAAATTCTGATACACATCCCCGTTTGACAATATCACCTTCCTGCAGATAACATCCAAGTTTCTTCACCCGCATTGGACATTTTTGTTTCATTTCAGCAGTTGGGCCATACTTGCAATGTATTTTATCGTCTGATGAACAAACCAGGCAATACTCAGGCTCGATTTCTCGTTTGTTACAATTGACAAGCGAGCATCGTTCGTAAATATCTGAATTACGACGATCAGATAGAATATCAATGCCAGGAACGGGTGAGTCGATCCAATCGCTTAAACATCCCCGTTTAACCGTTGCATTTTTCACAAGAATGAAACATTCATCGTTGTAATTTCGACACTGTTTCGACGGACGAGACACGTCTTCATTGATGCTCCAGATGCATTTTAAAAATTGTTTTTTGCTGTTACACTCGTTTCTAAGGCATTTTTTACATTCATCACTATTCGATTCGCATTCAGCACGTTGTTTTTCATCAAGATTCGCAATGCACCCTCTCTCCACGTAGCTTCCATTATCAAAGTGATAACAACCGGAGTGATCCACTTCCAGTGGTCTGCATCTTTTTATCAAATACATACGACGCGGATCTTCGATACAATTTTCATCAGTCGAATTACATGTCATGCAGTACATTGGCTCCACTTCTTTATTATTGCACAAAGGTCCCGAGCAAATTTCATAAGTTCTCTTGTTTTCGACTGCATTCAAGAAATTTGACGGCAAATCATTCTGAGCTGCATACGTATCGACACATCCACGAATGACTGTATCTTCTTTGATCACTTGAATGAAGCACTTTTCGTCATATTTTTCGCACATTTTTGGCGACGATAGCGATTGAAAATTATTCCACGCACTGCTTTGATCTTCGTCTGTAACAAGGCACTGCGAAAAATTTGCTCTTGAATTACAATTGGGATCGGTGCAAGTTTTACAAGAATCATCATTGTCCAAACATTTTTGTTTGATTTCCCCTTCTAAATCTGAAACACAGCCACGAATGACTCCGGATCCATCTGAAAAATTTGAGGATAATTTTTCGTTTTGTATTCATTGAAATTTCATTTTAAAAGAATTTGCAATCAACAATTGATTCATATTTCTTTATAATGATTATTGACATAAAATAATTGTGATTTGTACCTGTAATCATGTGATAGCAGCCCAAATCTTCTCGGTTAACATCACACAATCCAAGCATCGTATCGTCTAGTTCATTTGTGCAGTTTGGATTAATGTTTGAATCGCATTTGTAGCAAAATCTCTCCCATGGATTCAATTTGGTGCAGCTTGAATTATCACATTGAACCAATTTAAATTGGCCTTCGTTGTAAGATATTTCATAATGGAACGGATTCAATGCGAGATCTTCGTTAACAACCGGTGTTCGGTTGCAGTCGCTTTGATTGCATGTCAAACAGACTTCGCTGTAAGTATTGTCACATTCGACGAAAATCTCTTCGGGAGCCTCATACAAACAGCCGCGATGCGCAACACGGCCACTTTGTAAAGTATAACACAGATTCTTATAACCCAATGTCGTTGGAGCGCACTCGATTGCCGTGATATTTTCTTCAATTAAGTTGCAATTGGAATTTTCATCTGGATTGCACTTGACGCATGAGATTTTCTCCTCAAACCGTACTTGCTCCGAATTGCACGCTCGCTTATTGCATCGATCGCACTGTGCATAGTTTTTTAGGCAAAAATCTCTGCCTGCACTGCTGATATCGGACATGCAGCCACGGTAGGCTAAATTTCCATCTAAATCATTTCAATTTCGAATGATCAAGTTTATAATCAAACAATCTCATAATACATGGTTGAATGAATCCATATTTAAAACTACCTGAAGGTGATTTTTCATTCAAAGATTTCCTTACCATATGAAAAAACACTGTAGCATTCATCATCTGCAACATAATTGGAACACGGATACCTCACATCGATGGTATTCGTTTGATTGACACAAATGCTACCTTCGCAGTGCAAGCAACTAAGGCGATCCTCGGGAAAAATCTGTGCATTACATTTATTTGATCGGCAAAATGAACAAGATCCTGGTTCACATAGCGTTTGCTCGCGATGCGATAAACATCCACGGATTGTGATACCGTCTGAAATACGTAATTGGATTAGTACGCGTGTTGGAGTGGTCATTGAATGAATAAATTGTGATTTCATTGTCAAAAATAAAACAATAAAACGGTTGATCCTGATTTGTTCGGTTAAAAATGGTGATATGAAGAATTAACGTAATTGGGTGGCTTACGTTCGATTCGGGTAAAGCATGACGCAACATCAGCCGGGCATAATTCAAGTGGCAACTCTTCAATCGAATGAAGCGTTGAACAATCTTCCAATTTATCTGAGTAGCACACATAACATTGTAATCCTTGCACTGAAAAAAATGAATAGACAAGAGACATTCTTGAAATTCCAACGTAAATTCGTCTGCTTCTTATAAAGAGGCTTAAATAAAGGTCACCAAATATAGCGAAACCTCGAAATTTCATTCATAGATGTTATACTAAGTTGCTTTTAAGGTGATAAGTAAAAAACTTCAAAGCTTTAAAGATCAATAGGATTCATCGAACGTAAAGCTTATAGAAAACTATTGACTACGTTATTTTTGATGATAATAGTCAGGAAAAAATCGATCAAATTGAATTAGGTAAGGGAATCACACGATACATTACAAGCAATTTCACGAGACCAAAATAATTCTAGGCAATCGATTCGAGTGACTTACCTGAGCCAATTGATACACAGAATGATAAAATTGATAGCAACAAAAATAATTCCCAGTTTTTCAGTGGTGTGCCCATTTTTCTTTCTTTCTTTCACATTAGAATATTCAATGATTTAATTTTTCGGCTTCAACTTGAACTCTCCAGAGCAAATTTCGTATTCGAAAATGTCCTAGTTTTCAAAATTTTGGTAACAAAATTTATAATGAAACCAAATCACTAATACGCTCACGACCAATCCAAAAGTGACGGTACAAAATCGACAAAAGACGTAATAATCGGTCGATACATGCCTTTTATAGAAATGATTTCGGAATCAGTAGCAACTTAACGCCAGTCATATACAATCAGAAATTGATAACGAATAATCATAAAATTGGCAAATGGATAGGATATTTGCGTTTTCCAATTGTAACCAATGTACGAATTGTAATTGATAATATTGTATGTAGCAATAAAACAATAAATTTTTGGGATATATCACATTTTCGACTATTATCAATTGATTAATGTGCTTCCACTTTTGAAAAATCCAAAAGAGTCACAGTAATCGATATTGGTTTTTATATCAGATGTTATCTGGCTGAGAGCTGAAGCGTAACAGATAAGTGCACAACCTCCATCGATATCATACTCACACCCATAGATTTTGTGCAAAAATTCATTTTTATTGACGGTAGAATCACATCAAATAGGGCTTGTTCAACGCGTATTGTGATCAGCTATTGATTAGAAAAATAAAAGCAGACGAGTTCACAAGCACCATCGATATGGGTACATGGTTTTGTACCCTAGAACGGATATCCGTTTTCCGTTTCCGTACGGAATACGGAAACGGAAACGGAAACGGAAAGGCATACGGAAAACAAAACGGAAACGAAAAAAAAACGGAACCTAAACGCAATTTTTTTCCTCGTGTAGAAAACGGAATTTGTACTACTTTTTCATAAATCCAATTGGGCAAATAGGTTATATCTCACGAAAGTTGCGCCTGGTCCCATAGATTTTATTGGCACATAATGTTGGCCTCCCATGTTGACCCAGTTTGAAGGGCAGAGGTCAAAAAGTGGAAAAAGTACAAAAACCACCCCAAAGTGGGTAAACCTCACTCCTCAACCCCAAATCAATTGCATTTTTGGATTCCTCGTCGAAAATTAGCTATACCTCCTGAACTTTTTGCCATCAGTTTTTAATAAAACCCCTCACTTTGGCTCAAATCATCTCTGAATGTGCATTGGGAAAAATTGATATCACGGAGGACGATAGTCCGACAAGTGACGCACCATGACTGCGCATTTCAAGCCAAATCTCAAAAATGCCAGTTTTTGCGTCACGACTATATATACAGTAAGTATGCTATTTTCTCAGGACACCATTTGAGCCCCGGCGTGTTAGGTACCGTTGGAAAGGTCTCGGCCCAAATAGTCGGAAACACCATATCCCCCATGCCTAAAGTGTGTTCTAGACACCGATATTTTTCCTTATTGTGAATAAATTTTTACAATAGTGAATGCGAAAAACACTCCTGAACTTTGTATCCAGAGGTAATACAGCGTCAAAGTGTCACTCAAAATGATATCATTCTTTTTGAGTGGTAGATCCACGTACAGGAGCGTCACTCCATTTTAATCTCGTATAGAGGTTTTTCATCTAATAGCGTTCACTGGGATGAGTGCAAATATTGGTAAGTTTTTAATGTTCGTCAGCACATGGGAAATCCTACGATTCGATGTTCATTCATTTATTACATCAAACTGAATTGAAACAATGAGGAACTAGTTTACTCACTCGTAAATTCTGTTTTGAAATTTGATCATATTGCACAGTTGAGTGTGGATTTGTTGCCGAATTGTGTCAATTTTTCGAGAATTTTTCTCTGTTTGCATACGTTCAACGTCTTTTATGATGGAATTGATCAACACGTTGAAATGGTCACTCATCGCTTTGATATAGTAGCAGCAGCTTACAAAGTAGGACGTAAAGGAGGTCATACACAAAATATAGGAGCCGGCCAGAAGAAATTGTGTAAACCACGTCAGAAGCCAACCGCCAACGCTTGTTTGGTCAAAAAGTAGAACCATATTGACGAACAAGTGCCATGATGAGGTGTCGTAGTGGCCATTGGCAATACAGAATACCGCATAGATAAGGGTTGTTGTCATTGTGGATACGTGGAATAACAGAAAATAGACAAATCTTAGCGTTTGTTTTCGACACTTTTGCTCACATTCCCAGTAAATGTTAAGCACTTCAACGTTGTCTTCCTCTATGTTTTGGATGCAGAGTGAACAAAATAGAAAATTTAACATAAATATATGAAAACTCGATCATCATGGATAAAATTGAATAGAAAAATTGAGACACAGTTAGAAAAGATCAAAATACCTTCATCGACAATCCGTTGTAGTTCGAGATGTAAAGCTTTGACTTTGATCATTTTGAGTCCATTGCCAAGGAAAGTACCTGAGAAAAAAAGGTAAAAAAAACAAATATTCACCAGAGAGTTGAATGACGCGAAAAAATTAATACCAAAGTTTTTCACGTTTTTCAAAATCCATTTATATACTACTTACCAAGACATTGCACTGCACCATAACATACACGTATTTTGAATGCCACCAACGCACCCTTGACATCAGATGAATGATACATCCAAATAAACAATGCGCTTGCTGTGAAGGATGTTATCATTGCGATAACATTGAAATAGCTTCCGAATGACTTGAAAAACTCATTGGTCGGTTTGGTTAAATGATTCGAATAAACGCCCAGAAGGGACATGTACGTTTGATTGTTTTTCAAAACATTGAATTTCACCATTTCTTCGCCGTTTCAATTTTTTGCTCAATTTTATTTTCGTATTGCTTTCTATGTCCTACTTGGTGATATTTTACATCTATTCAAGTGGAATTCTGATGCACAACTGTACTCTCGCAAAGTTTGAAAAATGGGAGAAAATCGTTTTTGAATGAAATCAACTATATCCCACTAAAAATCTATTTATTACTTTTCTTAGAGCTCAATTTCATGTCACAGACGGTGTTTAATTCGAAGCAATGGCACGAATGGACCAAACGACCCACAGTCAGTACAATTTATAGGTTCCATCGGAAACGGAAAAACAATTAAATATTAATTTAGTTAGTGAAATTTTTTCTAGAGAATCGATGAATATATACATATGTACAAGCCTTAAAACTTCTCGTGGCGTCAGAAACATTCTTAGAAAAATCGTTTTTGTTAATTGCTGTAATTCACTTGTGAAAACATTGAAAAAACCATTAAAGAAAACGGTTTATCTAAGAATGTTTTTAATGCCACGAGAAGTTTTACGGCGTACATATTAACCAAAGTGGCCACTTTGACCAACAAATATATAATTGTGAATATATACAAAAATATTCTTGAATACCCTGTGAGTTTTTACATCGATTTACATCGATATACAACTACAGTGCTCTCTCAGAAATCTTAAGTAGTTTGTTTTTGCAGAAAAGCTTACGTTTTCTGGACAATTTAGATTTCTAAACGCAACTTTGTATGAGATTGGAGATTTCGTTTTTCGAAAATTGCTTCAGTTTTCTGGAAGATTATGATTTCTGAGAGTTTCTGAGTATTTGATTTTTTTTCATTCAAATTGATACCACTAATAGTGTGTGATTTCAAAAAAGTACACATCTAGAATCAAATCCATCTATAGATTTGCTCCGATCTAGTTCAATCTAGTCCGATCCGGTCAACTTATATGCGTCGCCAATTCAGAAAAAGGCTTTAAAAAGTGTTGATCAATTAAAACCGAATTGTTTTGTTATTCATTTCCTATGAATTGTATCTGCAGCAGAATAATTATAAAAATTTAAACTTCATTTCATACTAAATTCCTCGTATTGTGGTCCAAAAGGAAAGTTTTCAGAAGTTTGTACACAAGTATACATCACTCCAAATATCTAGCCCCAACGCTCAAAATTTTGAAAATATACAATTCGGAGGAAATTAAAACAATTTTATTTCCATAATTTTCCGACCGTGGTCTTATTGCTGTAAAATAATTAAGTAAAACAACTGAAGACGACAATTTTGTAGCAATTAAAATGGAAACTTCGAATTTTTACACAGGAACTGGGATAAATTGACGTTTATGTTTTTAAAATTATTGATTTTTACTGTGCGACACAACACTTAACTCGAGTTGATACTCAGATTCTCGGAAACAGGACATCTACAATTCTTTATGAAAAAAAATAATCAAAATGTACAAAGGATGAAAAATCAGCAGTAAAATTTGTGTGAAGATTTATTATTTATTCACAAATGCCTAAAACTACGCAATCACACTACCCAAACACTACCATTCGATAAAAGGTAATTTGAACTTGAACTTTATTCATTAGATCGATTCAAAGAATTCCAATATTCTTGAATACACCAGTGGAGCAGCATGAATGCCCCACATGAAATCGATGTGATTGAATTTTGTCTCATTAATAACTTGAACAAATGCAATACTCTTGATTTGGGATGTCAATCGATCTACATCTGTTGTATCCGTGAATGTATCGACGGGTGAATAATGAAACGACATCGGTGCTGTGATTTGCGAAAAATTGAAATCGCGTGGTATTTCTGAACCAGTTTTGTATGGTCCAAAATATCCATATTCTATTTCTTGACCATAATGAATGGCTTGGTTGAGTGATGCGCCACTTGTTACGTGGCATAGGTGAGAGGGAAGCATTGTCTAGAAATGTATATAGAAATTATGAATTAATTCGTTGTTTAACCCATTTTGGCCCAAAGTTACAATGACGCAACGCTTTTCATCTCCCCATCTGGGATGTTCAGGTGCTGAACTTCCACAGGTTGCCACAAAGGGAAATATAGCTTATATCCAGGTCCAAGTCGACCTGTTAGTTGCGTTAGAGCGAATATTTTATATATAGGGGGACCATCACTTGGCTCAAATTAGCTTAACGGTTTAGTATTGAGCCAAAATGGGTTGAGATACTAGAAATGTGATTAAAGCATGGGTAATTACTAACTACCCACATATATTATAATATACCTCATTTGTTTCCCCTTCGCTCGGGCCGAACAAGCCATTTATAATACCTTCACAAATACCAACTTCTATGACATTGCAAAAATCGGAGGAAAGTTCACTAAAAGATCCTCTTGGAAGGAATTCAGTGTCTTTGAATAGCTAAAATGGGAAAAAACAAAGTCTTGACTAAATTAAACATAAAATTATAAAATAATCTATTACCTCTTGCAGCCTGCGGATCTTTGATAGAGCTTGCCAAGGCGCTCCTGAATTCCCCACATAACCCACTGGCGCCATTAGAGCTGCAGCAGCAATTTTCTCATTGTATTCAGGTTTCTCCGACAGCAAAACAATTGGAGAAGTGGTGCCTTGTGAATGACCTATGGCTTTGCCATTTAATGAGAAAAAACAAACACCTTCAGTCGCATGAAATTGAGTTCTAAGAAAATTAATAAAAATTACCATAAACTTTCTCATTTTGTGTCTGTTCGATGACATAGTCGTAAATCGCCGAAAGATCATACAAGCCAATTTCGGTCCATGAAAAATTCCAAAATGCACGTTGATCAGGACTCAATGAAATATGTCGGCGAGAATAGAAATTCCCTCTGGAATTGGTTATCCACCTAGGTAGATAAAAAAATTAAAAACCTTAAAACCATTAAACCTGCAGAGGAGGTAACACGAAGTAAGTTATATTTACACGTCATAGCCGGCATCTGCCATTACGTATGCTGGAATTTGCGATATTGGTGGTAATTATGATGTAGACAAATTTTGATGATCAAAATTTGATCGAGTAATAATAATATTCACCCAGGGCTTGACTCGGATCATGGGTGGTAAAGTCATCGGACGATTCCAAAATACCGTGTTGTAAAACCACGGCTTTCTTAGTTCCAGACGATGTTTCATTTGAATTGCACCGAAACAATGTCAAATTATACCCATCTTCGGTGATAACATAATGCTTCTCGGCGAGATAACCATAATGTGTTATGAGTTGGTCCTGAAATTAAAAGAAAAACAAAGTTTATTTTATTTTTTAACTTTCAATCCTAAAGCTTAGGAAACTACACAAATGTACCGTTGTTAATTTGCACAACGTTTTTGTTAGTGGATCTTGTACGAAAGATGTGGCATTTGTCAGAACATCTCCGATTATACCACCAAGATTTGAAATTAAACTTGATTCAACTACTGCAATTTTACTCGCAATCAGAATAACACAGCCCAAAAATAACGATTTTATATTCAAAGAAAACATATTTGTCTCACAAAAGTTGAACATCTAATACGAATTAAGCTGGAGATTTGATGAGTATTTATAGACGACAAATCGCATGGTAAACAAGTAAACATGTTTTTAAACGAACATTTATTAGATGCAATCAAAACAAATTTACATCTTGATACGGAAAGAAGATTTCAATTGTTCACACGTACCGCTTGAGTGATATCACGTCAAATAATCTAATAATCCTAATCATTAAATTGTACTAGCACTGTAAAGTTATATCAGATGAAAAACCTCTAGACAAGGTTAAAATGGAGTGACGCTCCTGTGCGTGGATTTAGCACTCAAAA